AAGGTATGTTACTCTTCAAACAGTACTTCTCCATCTCCCTGGCAAAGCAATTCAGGAGGGCGTCTTGGAAGAGGAGCTGGGCCATCCACGACTTCTCATTGCCCCTGTAGTGCACTGGCAGTGTGTACTTCCTGATGTGCGTGAAGGCCTGGGGTTCTCACTGTGCCGGATCACGGAGGGAGTCCATTGATAGCCTGCAACACTGCTCTCAAGCAAGACTCTGGTCCTGTCCTCAAAAACCTCCAACCAGCATTGATTTGGCTGTCTTTTCAGGCATCAGTTTCCAGAACAGAGAAGCTTCATCTGCACTGGCAAGTAATTTTCTTCCACAATCGGCCTATCTAGAACTTGCATACTCACCACTCACTTCCACATTATGTGATGAGTAACAACCCTTGATTCATTTAAACCACCCAGACCTAGCAGTAAGTTCAACACCATAGTTGCATCTAGCCTTTTCTCTGAAGATGACAAACTTCTGCTTTGGCCAGGATCATCGTAGTGCTGAGAGGGACACACTTCTGTGTCTGGCCTTCACTCCAGGTCATCAGAAGCTCCTCTCTGTCTGACAGAGGCCTTCCCAGATTTTCGTTAGTCTACTCACCTCCAGTGAGGCAGATCCTTCCGCAGCTTCTGTCACTCCGTTCCCATCCTTCGGGTTGTAGCTCTGGAGGAATGGGACACGCCTGCCTGGCAAGCTCACTTACCACCTTGATCATTTTTAATTTTGGTTATAGGTCAGTCACCCAACGTGGCCTCTCACTAGCAACATTAGCAGTGGATCTTGCACACTTAGGGGCCGTGATGAACAAAATAACATGAGATTAAATCAAGCACAAGAGAAAATGATGCAGTCAAAACTCACAGTAAACACAAGATGTTTGAGACTGTGGCCAGTATAACACAGCACAGTTTTACGACAAACTTTTTTCATAAGTGGAAAGAGGACACTCTAATATAATAAAAAGTATAGTAAATACATAAATCAGAAAATATATAAATCAGTTTATTATCAAGTAGTATGTACTGTACACAACTGTATGTGCTATATTTTTCTATGACTGGCAGTGCAGGTTTGTTGACAGCATCACCACAAACACATGAGTAATGGGGTTCGCAATGACCTTATAATGGTTACATCACTAGGAAGTTTTCAGCTCCATTATGATCTGATGGGCCCACCATTGTGCATGTGGTCTGTCTTTGACCAAAATGTCATTATACGGTGCACGACTGTACAACAGAAAAACAAAGACATGGGGGGCAGGAAATCCAAGGTGAGTGTAGAGAAAATGAGACGCAAACAGTATTTGAAAAGATAATTGTCCAGAACAGATGAAAGACATGAGGACACAGGCTCAAGGAGTCCAGCAAATCTTAACATACATAAAAAGAAACATATCATATTAAAACTGCAAAACACGAAAGATATAGACAACAATAAAAGCAGCCAGGCTGCAGGAAAGAAGGCATGTTTCTGTTTAAATGAGAGAAGTTGTGTTGTTTCAAGTGGGAGAATGGCTGAAGGTATGAATACAAATGTTGAGGACCAAAAAGGTGGCCCACTGTGGACAGAGATCGCGACTCAGCATCTTGCAAATTTCCTTTTAGTTTGCCTTTGTAGTGTAACTAGTTTCCAGGGTTGCAGGAAGGTAGGGCTATAAACACAAACTGGGTTCCACCAACTCAATGCATCCCGCCAAACTTTTTCTGCAGCAGTGCTTTGCTTCAGCCACTTGCTTTGGAGATGTCAGGAGGGTTAGCTGTGGAGGTGGCGGCATGACTACTTCAACAGGGTGCCCTTGAAGGCAAAGTCCAGGGAGGCTGAGGGACTTCCTCCCTTCCTGGTTGTAGCAGAAGTGGGAGCTCTCCTGGCTCATCAGACGGCAGTGCTTATTGTGCAGTCTTTCCTGGAAACAAGTCGCAGGGGCCTGAACTTCTTCTGATGAGTGCGTACACATCTAATTTCCTGTGGTCAATCCTTTTCTGCTTCAGTTAATATTTTCTGATTCTCCAAACCAAACTCTGATTGATAAACTACAAATTCTAAAACTCTGTATATTTTTCCAGATTTTAATCTGTTTTAAAGAGGTTTTTTGAAATGTTTACTCAGGACTTTTCCTATCGGTTGAGAAACTTAGTTTAATAAATAATTACCCTTTGTATTTATTTATTTTTAGAGAGAGGGGAAGGGAGAGAGAAAGGGAGAGAAACACTGATGTGTGGTTACCTCTTGCACGCCCCCCAACTAGAGACCTGGCCCGCAACCCAGGCATATGCCCTGACTGGGAATTGAACCGGTGACCCTTGGGTTCACAGGCTGGCACTCAATTCACTGAGCCATACCAGCCAGGGCTGAAGTTATTCTTAGTCTCAACATTTACACATGCTACAAAATGTCAATTTATTTCATCTCTTAAGGAAAATAACTGTCTCTGAGCTTCAATATATTCTCCCTTGTGCAATAATGATCACTGTTATTCTGTTAGTTTTCAAATAATTGAACAGAAAACTCATAATATGGCCATCTGATACTCCAAAATGTTAGAATTTTCAGTATTTTTATTTTCCAAACATTATTTTAAAAGAACATTAAAAGCATCAGAAATACAAATCTGGCCTAATGGTTAACATCAGAACAATTATAAAATGCTTGAAATATACACATGATTTGCATCACAGTAAAGCATTAAGAGAACCGATTAATATTCCCTGATAATTAGTCGTACTCCACTGAATTCTCATTACTTTTAGTTCTCATTTTAGCCCTTATGGAGAGAGAAGTTGTATCTGTAGACCTATATCTGCAGATGCAGACATGGAGGAGGGCTAAGAACCTAGCCCACATGTACTCCATGCAAATGAAATCAGTCATTCATCAGTAATTCATCATTGATGAGCATAAAGAGACTGGAGGCCTCATATGCACATACTTAGTTTTCTTTACACTACAATCTATACCCTCCCAAAATGAGTCAGCTCAAAGGTCACACAGGAAACCTGTCATCTTTAATTTTACAAGTAGAAATTACTTTAAAAAAATCTTCTATTGAATCACATTTGAAATGCCTGGCCACAAAAGAAACACATGCCTTTAAAAGTATGAAATATCTTCTTAATATTATTAATTATGAAGCCATCTGGCTTATCGGGATAAACACCAGGCTCTTATTTTAGAGAAAGTCTGATTTCTAAATTGCCACAATTCTTCAAATGTTCTTGGGAGAAGATACTAGAGCTCATACTTCTGTGTTCAAAAAAGAGATAATACACTAACCTATCTCATGAGAGCATTAATAAATGAAAACAGAATTATAGTAAAAATAGAAAAGCACAATTGAAATAGGTCATAGTAACTTCCAAAAATAGCATTCAATTACCAAAAAAAAAAAGAGTGGATATTTTCTTTTATTATAAAATTGAATAACAAAAATAAAGAAAGAAGGTAAGAGGAGAGCCCTAAAAGGTAAATTAAAAAAATTAAACCCACATCTCATACATCAATTTCAGAAACAGAAATGACTGGCCGACACTGAAAGGTAAGAGCTGCGAGAGGAGGCTGAGCGGCTCCCAAGTCTTCTCCGTGCCTCTTACGGCCTCTATGCTTGGGAACAGCCTGCAGGGGGCGCTGTAAACTGCCGCTCTTTCATCCACAGGAATAAAAATGCCTTCCCAATCTGCAATAACGGTTCTTGAATACAATTTATAAAGATAGATTTTGTTTCTTGATGCTCATCTTGTGTCTAGCAGTTATTGTTCCAAAACTATAACAAGTGCAATTCAAATGCTAACTGTAGAATAAAAATATGTTTACATAAAAATATGAATTTACAGTTGTTATGCTAGAAATCACAGAGTATATAATAAAATTAGTTTTAGGTGTAGAAATACTTAATCTATTTTTCCTTACTGCTCATCTCCAGTTTAAGATTGATGGGAGGGAACTAACATAATATCGTTTAAAAATAGGTAAGAATTTTTCCACCACAATTATAGATAAGACAAAAAATATTTCTGAATAGTTACTTGGAAACTTTTTGTCAGATTGTTAAGAAGCCATTCTCACACAGAAGGAAAGTATAAACTGAAACATTCCCATTCTCCCATTCTCATCCTTAACCCTTCTTGGGAAATGACAAAGATCGTCCAACACACAACAATCGAGGTTTCTTTCCACGTAAGAGCATCTGGCTGAGGTGGACCCTTGCAGCCCTGACTCTCCCCAGAACAGCACACCTCTTCCAAGGGGGCAGTCTTCTTCACTCGGATTCCTGGGCATGACCATTCTGAAATAGAATGATCGCTTTTACCACAGACACACATCTTCCCCCTGGCCCCAAGCTTTGAGGGAATTTATTGAAGCAGGTTTCATGTACCAAAACAGTGCTGAGCATTCCTCCTTCACCAGCAGGTCACAGCTGCTGGTCCCTTTATTGCCACTACTTGGCAGGCCAGACCGCAATGACATTGACAGCTGCCAGCAGCAGTTAAATCACCATTATCATCCCATGAGATGCTGACTTTCTGTCCACCATGTTCACATGCCTGGTGCGAATCTACTCGTCTGTTTTCCACCAGGTTGGCGAGGTCATCAATCATCTCATTTTTCTCATCCAGCTCATTCCCAATCTCTTGCCGCATTTCCTCCTGGCGAATGATGACAGAAGAAAGGGCATCAAGGCCTGTGTCCTGTCCTTGGATGATTTTCTGCTGCCATTGCTGGATTTCGTCAAAACCCAAGCCTTTGGTCTCCTCCGGCTCCTGAAAGAGCCAAGAGTTTGGGACGCCTCACTTGGCCCCTTGTCATCAGGCTGGACCCTGGTTGTATTTCCACCATTTCTCTCTTACTGGCTTGGTTGTTGAATTTTCTCAGCAATCTCTTGTGCAAAATGGCAAGTAGAACCGTATGTGGAGAACCAGGGGATCGGAGCCACGCTGCGGTCTCCTCCCACTTCTCCGCATCTTCCTTTTTAAAAGAGCTGAACAGCTACTCGACTGAGCAATGTCTCTAGTAAGAAATAATAAAAATCATAATACTCTATTCTTGGTTGACTGCCTTATGAAAGTCCCTCATACCTGTGTATTTTTGATAAAGATCATTACAGATAATAAATTTCTGATTTTCTGCTTTAACAATGTATTATTTATTCAAATAAGTGTGCTAACAAAAAAGTGTATTTTCCCCATTTCAGTACTTCAAAGAATCAACATTTGTAATTCAATTCATAAAAATAACATCTCAGCAAAGATCAGACCCTTCCATTCTTTGAAACACCAGCTCACATATACCTGGAAGGACTACAACACTCAGATGATCGCTGTCAGTTCACCTTCTACTTTAACATAGCAGCATGAGTCATCCCTTTAAACAGATGCAGAGCATCTATTTAAAAGTTTAGTATAAAAGATTGGAACACAGGTCGGGGTACAAATCTAAATAATAAACTTTTACATTAAATCTTAGAGTATCAAGAAAGCACAAAGCAAACCAATAATAGATGCTAGTACCTCAGACCAAAGAAAATAGTAAACGCCGAATGTTTAGTTGAATCTTTGTTTTGTTCTACTACTGGTCTCACAAAAGTGAAAAAAATCAATTACTATCAGAAACAAAAAAAGTTTACACAAGATCCTCCAGTCTCTGTGACTCTAAACAGAGGGGACTGGAATCTGCCTGGCGGAAGTGCTGTCATATTCTTGCATTAAGTCATTGGTGGTGTGGTAACGCATGGCAATATAGGAGCTGGCAAATCCAAAGGAGTTTACCGGCTGTGCGCGACAGGGGGCGCTCTCTTCCCGGGACGGGCTGCTGTTGTAGACACTGTAGTACGGCTCCATCCGCGTGTTGACCGGCGTTGAGCTGCTCTGACCACAGTATTGATGTCCAGCCGAGAGCTTGGGACTGACCACACTTTCCTTCGACTGACTTGGGCCACAAGCCTGGTCCACAAATTTCTTCTGGGGCTTTGGGGACAACATGTAGGCGGAGTTTGTTTCATGATGGGAGGATTTGTTTCTGTTGACTTCGAGGTTCCCTTTGCCCATGGCTCGAAGACGAGTCTTCTGTCTGCAGCAGAAAAAACCCAGGCCTACGTACTGGAGGCACCAGAGCACTTTCCTTCTCAGCCCCGCGCTGTTCCGAGAATATATAAAAGGGTTTAATCCTGACTTGAAAAATATAAGGGTGAATCCAAACAGTTCAAACTGGTAAAGGACGAAGCTCCCACTTCTGGACAGAACCACCTGCACCAAGGAAATCCCCAGTGGAAGACAGCACACCAGGACAGACAGCACGATGATCACGCAGGTGACCACCGCTTTGGAATCCTTAGCCGTGGAGAGATTGACAGCTGAGACCAGCTGGAGCCGGCTGGCTGCAGGAGTTGGCAGCAGGTTAGGGCTCTTGGTGTAGCCATGCGTCTGCAGGTGCTGCAGTTTGTTGTAATTCTGGTTCCTGTAGAGGGCTGGCATGGTGCAGTGGGCGGGATCTCCACCTCCCTTCACAGGCGCCCCCGCGAAGGGCTGTGGCCTGGAAGCGTCCACCGTGATTACAGGGGGGCACTTTCTGACTTGGGCATTTTTCCACAGCGTCTGAGCAATCATGATGTAAGAGACAGACACTACGGCAACACAAAAGGTGAAGTCGACCACGTAGAGAGACAGAACGGCTTTCCCTTCTCCGGCAATCAGACTGGACATGGGAAGGCAGAGGTGGGACTTGCTGGTTTTCAGGGTGGCCAAGGTGGCGAGGGTGAAACTGGTGGCCCAGAGAAGCACTGTGAGGAGCAAGGTGCAGGGAAAGGAGGCCAAGTGGTTCGGCTGTTTCCCCAGCACCATGCGGAGGCGGTGCAGGGCGATCACGGCCACTGTCTTGAGGGACATGAGGATGAAGCCAGAACTGGTGAGGTGGAAGGTGAAGCAGAAAGCATCCGGGATGCTACCGACTGAGCTGAAGAATAACACAAAAGTGAACATGGGGGCCGTCACTCCACAGATGAAGAGGTCGCAGAAGGACAGGTTCAGGATCATGAAATCAAAGTTGGTTCTGAATTTCCTGAAGGCTGGATCAAAGAAGGACAAGAAGACAATGAAGTTGCCGTAAGAGCCCAGGCAGAAGATGACTGCGAGTAGAAAAGTACAGGTTACCAAAGTGGCCGTGTGGGTGAGACCCTGGGGGTCCGCCTGCAGAGCGGTGCGGTTCCCCCCAGGGAAGTGAGGCTCGGGGAGCAAGGTGGTGTTGGGGGCGTCCTGGAGACGGTCCGTTGAGTTCATCTTCGGAGAGAAAGGTCTCTTCCTTCTGTGGGAAGGGAGTCAGGGCCTCAGACTCACAGGTGAGTGATACATGACAAAAGAGACCCAAGGCAGAAAAGCCTGCACATGGAGACGCATGTCCTGAAACAGAAAGTAGAGTGATCGCATGATTTTTGAGAAAACCACGAGTGTTTGTCAGCTCTGACCCGGTGCACAGAAAGCCCAACACGGAAAAGACACACACACCTCCAAATACAATTATCCAGCTAATTTGAGGTTTTAGGACACAGTGGTTTTCCAACCAGTTTTAAGCATCACCTAGAGAGCAGATAAAAAAGTAGATTCCTGGGCCTCACCCACTGAGATTCTGATTAAAGGGTGTCCAGATTTTACTCTTACTTTTTTAATGATCTGTTAAAAGATTTAATTTTATTTTGAGAGAGAGAGGAAGGGAGGGAGAAAGGGAGGGAGAGAAACATCATTCGGTTGCCTCTCATGAGCACCGGGACTGGAACTGCAACCCAGCTGTGCGCCCTGATGGGGAATTGGACCGGCGGTGCGGGATGGGGCCCAACCCACCCAGCCACACCAGTCCGGGCCAGAGGTTACTTTCAGAAACACTCTGGTACCAGACACTGGAGACACAAGACCAAAACCTCCTGGACAAAGAGATGACAATCTAGTTGGAGACCAACCCAACTGCATAATTACAGCCTAATGGGGTAAACCAGAGGACAGCAGAGTGCTATGGAAGTGAGAAGAGGAACCTGATCCAAGCGGGGTAGAGGCTGAGAGAGGCTGACGGAGTCCTGACGAAGAGGAGCTGGGGGTGGGGGCGGGGGAGGTGAGGGCAGGGGACAGGTCTCTGTAGCAGGGCTGGGCTGAACAGCATGTGCCGAAAATATGAGCAGAGGTACTGCTGAAGTGCACTGTGGCCCTTTACATAACTAACAAGTCCCATTTCTTTCCTGAAGAAGAACCCTTTAATTGCCTTTATTTACAATCTCTTCCCTGTTTGTGATTTCTTGGCTAACTCCATACACTCCTTTGGAAAAAAACACTTTGTGTAGGACCACATTTGAAGGGAAAAAATGAAAGTAATGAAGAGTATCAGAATTATAGTTGAGATTTACAAGGTGCAAAGCACCACTTGGTAAACCTTAAACTGCCATATAAATGTGAGCTATCATTCTTCCAATGAAAGCATCATGATGAAGCAGGAGGCACCCACCCACTCACGCACGCACCCACTCACGCACGCACGCACTCCTGCAGTTTACACCGACCACGCTGCGCACACTGCACACAAGCTTTATGCCAGCTGCTGTGGGTAAAAAAGTAAGACAGCCTCTGCTTTAAAGAAAGAACTTGTTTCCCTCTTGCTCCTTTATTTTTGTAACCCTTCTCCCGCTATTTTGCAATGAGATTTAAAGTACACTCACACAAACCTTCTGTTATTCCAAATCCAAAAGCCCTAAGTGGCTTGGCACCCACCCTGTTCCCAAAGATACTTCCAAGTGGGACAGCTGAAGTTCTTCCTTGGAGCCTGATGCAGTGCTCTTGACAACTGAAAGGTATCTGCTCTCATCCAGCATTTTAGGAACAGCCAGTAGCACCGGGGAGGTCCAGGGTTGATGTTCAGAATATTTAACCACCAGCTCAAGCTGAGGCCTCCAGCTCTGCCAGAGGTTAACCCTTTGGGTTATTGGATCATGGGATGCAGAGGAAGGGGCTGGGTCAGTGAGGGGTTACTGGGGGCTCCAAGAAGCAGCTGCGGACCACCCAGTGTTAGAAGCCGCTCAGCCTTCCGTAACGGGCATGGCTGTGCCAGTGACTATCAGACAGAACTGCCGTCCTGGGGATGCCCACGTAACTGACTGGTGTCCTTCACGAAGGGAGATGATGATGTCTTCTATGTTCACAGTGGTCGGCTGGGATGGGTCATGGCAGCAGGATGAATGTCTCCTCTGGGAAGTGAGGCTGGCTTTTCTGTACTTTCCTTACAAAAGTTCCGTGAGAGAGCAGAATGCAACTCCTGGCCTTTGGTTCCTTAATGATTAGAAATTTAAAAATAATAATAATGGGCAGCTTATTGTTTTCACTTTAAGATTGTGGTAGTTTCTGAACACTTTTTTGATACATGGTGAAAAAGATACCCTTTTACTGTGTTTTTTTATTGTTAATTAGAGGATTGGGATTAACTGATGAAAAGAGAAGTGGAAGAGAAAACCCAATGTGAAGAGACAGGAAGGACAGAGAGGCAATACTAATGTTTATTACAAACTCTCCTCCCCACCCCCGACCCCAACGCCAGTGGTTTCCTCTTTGGAAACAGGGAGAGGAGCAAGGGTGAAGAGGGAAGCAGGGATGTAGTTTGGGGGAAATCGGAAGGGTGAAGAATCTGGAATCAGGATGCTAAGAGAAACACTGAGTAAGTGGACAATACTGAAGAAGTGGAGGGGGGAAAGTTTTGAGGACCCCCCAGCTAGGAGATGTTTGGAACTGGAGTTGTCAAAAGGAAAATGAAATGACAAACCAATATTAGTCAAAGGTAAGAGGCAGGGGGAAAGAAGATTTGGAGCAGATGAGGGGCAAACTGCACTTTCTGTGCAGTTATCATTTTTTCATCAACTAAACGTTTTCCTAATGGATTACAAACTAACAGAGACTGCGAGGTCAGGAATGCAACGATCAGCATCATTACTAGTGTGTGAACTTCGCTGAGTGCTCATGATGTGCCGCCCACTCTTCTTAGCGCCGGAGTATTGACTCCTCACAACTCTGAGACAGCTACTCTAACTTATCTCCATTCTATGGATGAAGAAACTGAGTCGGAGAGGCAACGCCCAACTTCAAGTGGTAAAGCATGAATCTGAAACAGGCAGTCACTCTCTAAAACCCACACTTCACCACGAGGCAAAACAGAACGGCAAAGAGGTTAAGGGAAGGACCCAGATCAGAAGACTGTCGCAGCAGGAATAATTTATTGGGTGCTGATTAACTGCCAGGCGCTTATACTGGACGCTTCCCACAAGTTATCAAACTTTATTTCATTCTCAATATAATTCTACCCAGTAGCTATTGCAATCTCTTCCCAAGTCAAAGTTCTTGGAACCCAAAGTTTGAATACACACACTAAACATACTTCTGTATACATTTTTGTCAAAGTTGATAATTAGGGTTCTGGTATAAAGTAATGATAAATCACTCCTATTGGGATAATTTGGGGGGAAAAGTTAGCGATCAGAGGCTGAAGAGAAAAAGGAGGGAAAGCAGAAGACAGAATAGAAGTAAAGGTTTTGGCAGAGAAGGTTGAGGAGAAATAAAGGAAATGGAGGGTAAGTAACCCTAGGTCCTCGGACTAACTTCGGGACTGCAAGAAAGAGGAGGCTGAGATCACAATTTGGAACAAAGCTGTCAAGACAGAAATACAAAACTCCTTGATGTGAGGAGGAGGTAAGTGAGTAGCTATCTGCTGTGACTAAATATTAAATATTACTAACTTTTTTCAATGACAGCATACAAGCTACTCTTTATCTCTAGGACCATAAATAGGTCCTGGAGAACAACGTGATTAATATCACAAACCCAGAAAAATTTTAAGTTGGAACACCTGTCTTAAGCAGGCATATTAGCTACAAAAACACGGACTGAATTCATAACACGTGCATCTTGTTACAACTGAAGAGGCGGGATCTTAAAGTAACTAGTAAACAAGGAATTGTAAATATAAATTTATTGTACTGTGACAGTGATTTCACCTTAAGACGTGTGAAGAGTCTGGTAATTTAGTGTGTTGTCTTAATATGTTAGTACATTATTACATTTTATATGAGCTTTCCCGAGTCAACTCGGGACCTAGATGCATTTTTTAACTCAGAATGCCTTTCGTTTCTCAAGGACGGGCATTTTCCGAGTCTACCCCTCACACATTGTATCATTATCCCATTGTATTTACACTGATCCGGAAAACCTCAGGGAAGTTGGATGACTTGCCCAAGGTCACTAAGATTCGAGCAATATTTACCTTATTTCAGAGTTCAAGCTCTTCGTCTCCAGCAGAACTACCTCTGGAAGGCCCGGAGCAGCGGGTGGGGTGGGGTCAGTGGCTGAGGGGCGTGGGGAGGCTGTGGAGCACCCCCCACCCCCACCCCAGTCTAGGTATGCAATGGAGATGGGGTGGGGCGCCGGCCCCTGCCAGGGACTGACGACGGGAAGGAGCTCCCGGGGTGAGTTAGGTAAGGAGGGCCTAGGCCGGGCCAGGAAGCTTGCAAGACTCCCGAGAGGGCTGGTGGGGAGAGGAGGTCTCAGCCAGGCCATGGCCGGTGGGGAAGGAGTTCCACGGCCACAGCGGGCCTGGCAGAAGGGCGGGCAGGGGCCATGGCTGCCCCCCGCCCCCAGCTGCGCCAGGACTGCAGGTGCGGAGCTGCCAGGCCTGGGCCAGCGCACCGCACTCTTCGCTAACCACCCCCGGCTTTCCCGGGCCCCGACCCTCCCTGTCCCTGCGGAGACGCTCCCTGCAGGGGCCCGCGGCCTCTCACCTGCCCGGTGGCTGCAGCGGCGCCCCTCCTCCTTCATCTCGCAGCTCGGACCCCAGCTCCGAGCGCCGCCCGGGAGGAGGCAGGGCCCGAGGTACCGTCGCCATCGCCGCCGCCTCCGCGCATCCCGGGCGCCGCGAAGAGCCGGGGGCGCAGAGGCGCAGTCACGGAGCCGCGGAGGGCGCCGCCCCCTGCGCCCGACTCCCAGGCCGGGGCCCCGCCTGCAGTCGCGGGCTCAGCACCTCGCGGCACGTCGTGCGTTGGGGGGCCGGCCGCTCCCGGTTCTGCACGGGCGCGAGGCTCGCCGTCGAGAGCCCAGGCTCCTTGATACAGGCTGAGGCTGACCGACGGGAAGGGCAGGTGGACGGGGTAGAAAGAGGGGGAGGGTGGGGGCCCACAGCGACCCCGGGGTCTCGACCTCAGACCGATGGCACCCGCATTATCCGCAGTAGTGGCCCTTGTCTGCCCCCGGCCTGGCCTGGGGGCGTCCCTGGGCTTCCAGGGCCGCCAGTGCGCCTCTCGGGGCTCAGTACGTTTTCTCCTAAATTGGCATCATTGTCCAGTTTCGTCCTTTGAAGGTTAGAATTTGAGAATCAAGCCATAGTAACAATTTGAATCAAGCCAACTTTATATAAAAGATTTTTTTTTCTCTCCGCCCTCTGAAAGTATTGAGTTTACTAAAGGAGCTCAGCAAGGGGAGTTACCAGAAAACGACCGCAAAGCAAAAAGAAACTACCCACGTAAACAACCAAGCCAAGAAATCGTGGACGTGAATGTGAAATGTTAAAAACCATGGAAAGCAGTGGCGGCAGGCACGCGGCGGGGCACATTTTTAGTGAGCAAGGACGGAAAACCGAAACTACCAGCCGCTTGCTCTGCCAGCGCCCACGCATCCAAAACAATGAACTTACAAAGAGGGTTTCATTTTAGTCTGAGCCATCAAGTAACATCCCTCTATGTTGGCTATTCTGAATAACTGGGACCTTACTAACCTCTGGACGGGTAGTATTTAAAAAATGAGAGTGCTATTTGAACGTCCTTGCCTTCACCCCGGCGCCAGAAAACCAGAAAATTAATTCAAGTGGAATACTTAGTGAGACTATTGCTGTTGAAATCCTATTTTGGCTAAACTGTTGGTGACAAGCACCAGAAAACTTGATCTATGCCTATCACTTATCTATCCTAGTTCTCCTATGCTTTCATTGAAACAAAAAGGGCTGGATAATTTATGGAGTAGACATTCAGTCCAGGTGACCATGCTCCCAGAGTTGTTTAGAAATGAACTTACTTCTGAAGAAAAATATCCCATCAGCTCCCATGTAATACTCCACCCCCAAACTCTTGCAATGCAGCAGTTCTATTCTAGGTTGTCATGAATGGTGACCTGGGGCCCTAGAAATGATGGCAGGAAGACGGTACTGAGAATGGAAACTCCAAATTATAACCCTCTCCATATGAATTAGCTACTGTGTGTAATTGCCAGCTCATTTCCAGGCACTTGGCCATGCCAGGAGATTGTAACAGGTTAGGGCAGGAATGCAGCAGATTTACACCTGTGGGAGAAATTATGTCACACTGGGGGGAAAAGGAAAAAAGAAAAACAACTTACAGGTTGTGAAGGATTCTAGAGATCTGAATGAGGAAATCAGCAACTACCTAAGTTCTAGAACTGCTTAGTATCATCAGCAATGCTACCGCTACTTTATGTACCAGACAACTGTGTCAAATTGAAAAGAACACTGGCTCAGTAGTCAACCCCAAGCAGGGCTGGCTATCACACACTGAAATATGAATGGGCTAATTTGCAGGGAAACCAGCATTCTAACACAGTGTCATTGGCAACGCAGGTTGACCAATGTGCACTTGGAGGAAAGCATTACCACAGCCACTTTTACGAGTTTAGATTCTTGACCTAAAAATCCCAGTCCTTGGAATATACCAAGATACCTGAAGAAGTTTTAAGGATGAAGGTATGAAAATGTTCATTGCAGTGTAATTTGTAGTAAAGAAAACGGAAAACCACCTTTATGTCCAACAATGCGGGAATACTCACAATTATGTTAACAAGAGAAGTGATCCTTGTCCATGAAAATATCTATGAAGACCATGTAGGAAAAGTTAATTTGTTTCAATACAACAAAATTTCTCACCGGTTCTTTCTGGCCATACTGCTAGTTACCAAAAGTGGCCTCCAACCTCAGGGGCTGACAGTGCCCTTCCGAATATTTGAAAGCAGCTTTCTCAACCTGTTTACAATGTTTTTTTTTTTTTGACACTAACATTTATTCATTCACATTAACAGGTTGGTAAATTTTCCTCCTCAATTTTGAAACACACTTTGTTAAGTCTTTATTTAAAAGATACAATTCAGAAACAAAGGTTGCTGTGGCTCTTACCTCAAGGACGCGGGCCTTTTTCTCACCTTCCGCCACTCACTGCACTTAGCACTGCTCCTGCTCTGCTCACCACTGTTTTCAATGCAACATACACTCAAGGACGTGGACAACAGTAGTCATCTGCCCCTGTTCTTTCCCTCCTCCCTTTCATTTTTAAGCTGACCGGTAAAAAGGGAATTAAATAATTCACAGTTTAACCAGATTGAAGTGTCAAGGTAATAAGCACTGTTTAAACCTGGGAGCAGAATCACACAGGGCACACGTGTTGGAAACTCAGATTTGCACCATTCTGGTTTATTGTGGGCCTTAGTCCTCACCAGTGGCTCTCAATCTTGGCTGCTCAAATGAGCATTATGGAGCTTTATACAAAGATGCTGATGTTGAGTCTCAGCCAGAGGAACACAGTGTCTTGTACTTTTTTAAAGTTCCACTTTAGGAATGTTGCTCAGGCATGGTTTCATTTCAGCTTGGAAAAAGCGGAAGTGGCCGACATAAAGCCTCACAGCTCTAAGTGTGGTCTCAGGAAAAGACATCAATACCATGAGCTGGGAGCATGAATTAAATTCACATTTTTGCAACCCCCCCACATGATTCTTATCACATCAATCATCTAGATCAATGCTGTCCAACAGAACTTTCTGGTGACATTCATGTTATTCAGTGGTGTAAACCACCAGCCATGAGGTGGCTAATAAGCACTTCAGATGTGTCTAGTGAGACTGAGGAAATGAATTTGCAGTTCAATTTAAATGGAAATAGCCACTATCTAAAAGAGCTACCGTGGTGTTCATTTTGGGGAGGGCCATGAACTCAGAGGTCCAGATCTATGGATGCAAAAGGAATGCACTGGAGTCACTGCCTGCAAGACTGTTCTCTCCACTTAATGAAGACAAAAGCCAGGTGTTAAAAACAATCCATTTATTGGGTTTTAAACTAATTAAACAATGAAATCATTGGTTTGGCACTACTCTATACAGGGATTATGCCTGTGTATGCTGACACTGTACCAGGACCAGTGCTGTGCTTAGGTCTGCATTGAGTCATGGAGCAAGCAGATAATAAAAATATACTGTAGTGTTCCTTTAAGGAAGACTGTACAGAGTGTGTTGCAAGATGACTTTCACCAACTTGCCAATCACTTTAACCTAGAAGATACCTTGCATTCTATAAACTTGTCAAAGGCAAACACGTGACGTTTGCATTCAGTGATGCACACAAAAAAGTTACATAAAAATTCAGACATTCTAACATTAAATGAACTCAAACAAAGCCCCACACCTCAGCTTCTATAACATGAAAATAATTTAAAAACGCAAAAAGTGGCATTCAATTGGTACAAAAGCCAAAAATCACTATAATAAAGAGCTAATGGGAATCTTTACAAATTAATTACACAATGGTGCCGTGTAAAAGGTTGCATTTGTACAAAGTCTGGCTAATACTATCTCTACAGTTTATACAGTCTTTTACATCTATATAACATTTATTAAACAAGTCAATTAAATACCAAGACTTCTTAGTCTCTCAACGATTCTGCAGGCAAAAAAAATGACAGAATTCCCCCCAAAACAGCAGTTTCCCATTAAGTGTAACAGTTTTCGAAGAAGAGTCAAACAATATTTGTAAAGAATACAGGTAAAAGTCAACCAGTCAGGGTTTTTGTTGTTGCTGATGTTTATTTTCAAAATCACACATTGTGCACACACACGACAATCATTCAAAAAATTTATTCGCCAAACCCCCAGTTTTTCAGCAATTGCTCTTCCACTCAGCACCAAAAACTCCAGTCTGTGGGAAGCATGGTGGACGCGGACGCCACGTCTGTGTCTTGTCGGGCAACCCCTCAGGCCCTTCGTGAGGGTCCAGACTCGTCCTCTCTCCCCTCTCCATGGCTCTCCGGGCTTCAGCTTTACGGCCCACAGCCCCACTACCACCTAAACCAACAGCCATTTGGAAAGAATTCAAATATTTTGAGATGAATGAAATGACAGGACCCGTATTAACAGCTGGGCATTCTCCAATCCAAGTAAACGGTTTCGTAACGAGTTCCTAGACTCTGTTTCGTCTTCGATGCCATGATTATAGTGGGTAATTATTTCTAGTCTGAGACACTGTGGCTTTGTCAGATGCCTCAAAGCAAAAAAAAAAAAAAAAATCAATATTCTGGAAACAGTTCCGGACAAATTAGGAAACCAAATGGCAGCTGTTAACCTGTGGAATGCAGACTCAAGACCAAACACAGAAACCACCAAAATGATGAGAGCTCAACAAAGGTAGAGTTTTAAAACCTGCAGAGCCACCGCAGATGGTACCTGAGGATCTGGAATTTTTGATTGACAAGAGCTTGAAGTGAGGATTAATCTGTATCAGGGAGGAAAAAAATTTCAGTCAGGCAACAGGACATCTAACTCTAAAGGCCCTGTAAGCAAATCTCTCTATTCTTCCTATCCCCGCAGAAAGGCTTCTAGGTCCTCTCTCTTCAAAAAAAATAAAATAAAATAAATTCTTGAGAATCCAGATGCAGTCCTGGTTGGTGTGGCTCAGTGGACTGAGCACCGGCCTGGGAACCTAAAGGTCTCTGGTTTGATTCCCAGTTGGGGCACATGCTTGGGTTATGGGCCAGGTCCCCAGTCAGAGGTGTGGGAGAGGAAACCAATTGATCTCTCACACATCAATGTTTCTCTCCCTCTCTTCTGCCCTCCCCTCTATCAAATAAATAAATAAACAAAATCTTTTTTAAAAAAAGAAATCCAGATGAAATGTTCTCACTGCAACATAGAACCTAGAGTCCTCAGGGCAACCCGAAGTGCCCAGGCCCCTCACTCAGGAGGCAACTAAGAATAATACTTCTTTTGTCTAACCACTTCCATGC